GCTCCTGTTATTGACCATGGTACCTGTTGTGCATGATTAGAATTCAGTGTTGACTGACAGTGCTATTATAAGCATGATTTATTATTGCATCAAAATTGACAAAATGACCTATTTTGCATCTTTATTTTCTGTTTTTTGTCTGTACATTTGACAGCTTTGCTGCCTTGTTCTTATATTGTGTTTACAGTGTTGCATATATGCTAAAAAGTGAAAAAAAAGCATAACTACTAAAATAGTGGCCCGATCATGCCGATTTTCGAACTTGACCTGCGTTTTAGTAAGATTGATTACTCCTGTGAGTTTCATGACAACAGGCCTATCGGTTTTCCTTAAAATGTGTTAACAGGGTTGCATATGTGCTGAAAAGTGAAAAAACAGCATAACTTCTACAATAATGGCCCGATCATGCTGATTTTCGAACTTGACCTGCGTTTTATGAATATTCATCAGCTCTGTAAATATAAAGCCAAAAAGTAAAACTGCCCTCCACTTATCGTGTTAACAAGGAAAGTGCACGGCGCCGGCATCGGCATCGGCGACGACGGCGACGACGGCGACGACAGACACAGGTGATGGCAATATGTACAGACACATCTGTGTCTGTACATAAAAATCAACAAAATATTCATAACTGCACTTTGATAAAAAAATAAGAAAAGACACCAATTACCTAAGCATATTTTATTATCTGTGAGGATTTATATTTTTTCACAGACTTCAGTAAATTTATTTTCCTGTTTCACAATATCATATAACTCATTGGATAGAATCAAAATTGATACAGGATTAATCCAAGAATGGTCATTTAGTCTATGTTGTATTCACATATTTCATTTTTTTAAACCAAAAATTAAGTTGTGAGATTGAACTAAGTTTGTCCTTTGTTTCTTCTTTGTTTGTCTCCATTACAGTATTATCATAATAAATAATGTTCCACAAAGCAAATGAAATCTATGCAGTAACAACAAATGAGGTTTGCGCCATCCTACTTAATTTCTTTCTTGAATAATTTGCAACAAAAATATAAGAATTTGACATACATAACAGTTCACTTCTGTGAAATCACAGTGATAGTTTTTGAGTTTTTAACAAAATCATATCCAAGTAAGTAATTTAATGGCTCCTAGTCTTTCTTTGTCATGGAATCTTTCAAGTCTTTGAGCAGCATGGAGCCTATGACCATCTTCTCACAGTTCACTTTCAATGCTGCTTTCCTCCCATCAAGTTTGACTGAGATGAGCACCAGGGCACCTGCTGACAGAGTCTTGCCAGCAAATTTGTAGGTATTGTCTTGCATTGAGGGCACTTGTACAACATTGGCCACCTCATACACTCTCCTGCTTATAGTCTTGATGTCTGTATTTTCAGTTGCCATATCCACGGTGCCACTGTTTTCATTCATTCCTGATAATTTACCTAAAAGCAAATGTTTAACTATTTTATTATAACCGTGAACATAAATCCAATTCTATTTTTTTTACCTTTACAGACTAAAATACATCCCTTTTGTCTTATTCTGATTAGTAAATAAAGGAAATTTTATGGCACAAGGCAAAACGTGAAAAAGGTTCTTCTAAAGTAATGAAAAAAATATAGTCTTTCATATTCATACTAAATTATCTTTTTACAACAGATAACATAATAGATAACAAACAGAAACTATATCACATACCTTGCTGTTTGTCAAATTCATTCTCTGCCATATTAACTGGCTGTATTTGTTCTCCAACAGGTGCCTTCACTGTGACAGAAAATTTTTTCTCCTGTGTACAGACATCGAATGTGGCTGGTTGTGTGGTGTCAGCAAAGTTGATGCCCATAGTCGCTGTGACAGTGGCTCCAACACCAAGGTTACCTAAAATAAATATAGTGTTAGCTATTAACAAATGAAAGTTGGCAAACTTAAAAAAAATTTTAACAGTTTCCAACTACCAAAATGCATTTAATAAATCCTTTAAAACACAAAAAATCAGATAACTTACCAATCTCAGGGAAATCAAAAATCTCCATTCCAGACTGAAGTTTCTGAAATATTCATCAAAAATACAAGTTACGGAATGTGTACATACCAATGTTTACCAAAACAGTAGGATAGCCACATATTATGCTAATGTTTTTTAAATTAATAATCAAACTTAAATTAAATCTAGAGTTAACTCAAAGTTTTATTGCTTATATGGTATTTTAAACACATTTTGTCTCATGAAAATAGCCTGACTT